CTCTGAATGAGACGCAGATTCACTCTCTGACAGCAGGAGGCGCTCCTGGAACACCAGATACAGCGTTTGCAGCGACAAGCTGCAAAAAGACAATAAATGGCCAGTTGCCGATCGCGTAAATTCCAGGGGAAGCTCCTTAGCTCGGCCATCCTACGCACACGTGACTGACCGCTCGCTCGCACCAACAGGAGGAGGAGGGTCGTGTTACTCTCTACACTGCACTCAACCTGAGGGATTCCTACACGTTCAGTCTTTGTGGAGACATGAAAAACAGCGCATACCGCAGGAACGGTATAACGGAAAATATTAGTGGTTTTTAAACCGTGTAATTTTTTTTCAATCGCAGTATACCTTGAAACCGGTAATCGGCCCATGCCTACTTTGGATAGTTCACCGAAAAATTTCAAATGGTTGACGGTAGCCATTGACTTCCATAGTATTTTGTTGCATTATTTTTTTAATACAATGAAAGTCAATGAGGTACACATTTGGAATGTCATCATTTACTCTCTGTTCCAAAACCTGGATCACAAAACAAGGCGTTTTTTTGTCTATACAATGAAAGTCAATGAGGTTCGATGTTGTTTTGGATCCCATTTACTTTCATTGTATAGGCAAAAAGTGTTAATTTCTTTAAAATATCTTCTTTTGTGTTCCAGGTTTGGAAAAACATAATTTACTCACCCATCCAAAACCTGTACAATGTTGTTACAACCCTTTAGGAGTTTGTTTCTTCTTTGAGGAAATATATTAGTGTTTTGTTTTTTTTCCAAAAAAAAGGCAGTGAGGTTCAGTGTTGTTTTGGACCCCATTGACTTTCATTGTATAGACAAAAACTGTTAATTTCATTAAAAATATATATATATATCTTTTTTGTTCCAGGTTTGGAACGACATCATTTACTCACCAATCCATAATTTGTATGATGACAACTATTTTTGGGGGGTCAAGCATCTCTTTGAATACCTGTTTTTGCATTAGTAGCACAATCAAATTACACAACTGTTAGAAAAAGCATCAATCGAATAGGGTGTTTTAGATAGAAAACAAGGGAATTTTGTAATGAAATTGTAATGAGTCGGGTATAAATCCCAAATATGGAGATTTACAATGTAATATTACATAGGTTTCAACAACCAACCCACAAGTCGATGGGCTTACCATGAAAAAAATCAATGTGTTTCTAATGGCAGTCCATCCTTGAATTCAAATGTCCTACTCTTTCAATCATTAAAATGAATTTATTACACTAGTCTCTGTGTTCCTACACCATTTTACACTATAAAACGCCTGTCGGACAAGTTCCCAAAACCCTGATCTTCAGCAGCCAGTCAATATTTACTCAGTCAGTCCACTGATCTGCATCTCCCTAGACACAACCATTGCGTGCATCAAGATATTTTTTGCTTTCACTTGGGAGTTGGGGATGTTCTCCAAAGCGCTGGCCCGGGAAGTTTGCTTCAAACAAGGACAAAAAAACACTGCAACTATACTATAAGCATTGTTGAAAACTCAGCACTGTAGACCTGAAGACAGCTGCGCGTCCTCAAATCCCATCACAGTAAGTCAACATCTGTGTGAGAGATAACATCACTCCTCACATTCACATGGGCACTTCCCATCTCCTCTTCACCACTGAAATCCATTGTTTTTAAGAGCTGCCACCTTATGGCAAGCCATTTTAACATTCATTCCTGAACACTACTGGTATGTATTCCAATAATCACTTGCATCTTTTCCAATATTCTAGTTGTTACTTAGTATACTGTATAGCTTTACTAGTACTAGAGACACTGTTCTTTATCTCTATTGTTATTAGTAACATTTTTAATCTTACTAGTTACTGTTGTTTTTTGCTTGTCACATGTAATGGCCAGGCAGAATGACTACTTTGTAGTTTAATGAAAATCTGATTGTAAAATGTTACTAGTAACAACCAGAATACATCCTAATGTCTATTCAATTGCTACAAGTCTTATAGTAGTATTATTTTATATTTATATTTTGAATTAGATTTTATTTTGATTTTTTGTTTTAGTTTAAATTTGAGTAATTTTATTAAGTGCTTTTCTATTAATTAATTTTATTAATTTATTTTTACTTCAGTTTTAGTTTTAGTAATTTCCAGTTAATAATCTTTGATTCTTTAAACTTAAAACTGATTTCAGTTAGTTTCAGTTAGGTAACATTTGTAATTTCTGTTTAGTTTATGTTTTTCATTGAATATTTATATCTTATTCAATTTCAGCTTTGTTTCAATAAAAAAAAAATGTTTTAATTAACAATAATATCCCTGAATATTCCTAGGAAAACTTGAATACATCAGTACTAGTACTTGATTTAAAAAGAAAAATTAGCTCTAGTACCAAATTAATAGTTACTAGTAAAACTAGAATAGGTTTCAGCAACAAATTGAGTACATACTAGCTAGAAGTGAATATTTGATATCTGAACTACAGCTCAGCAAAAATGTGAAAAATGTTACCAGTGAAAATGGACTAGTTAATTGTCACTAGAGTGATAGCGACTAGTAGCAAAAGAATAAGTTCTACAGTAGAATGTCTTGTGATACTAGTAAACACTGGATTACTTACTAGTCATTAAAAAAAAATCGGCATTAGTAAAATACTGCTAATGTTTACTACTAATATAAGTACTAGTAACTTAATGTCTACTAGTTAGTGCTAAGGATTAGTGACAGTGGACTAGTTAATTGTCACTATAGTGATAGTGACTAGTAGCAAAAAAAAAATTTACTAGAATGTCTTGTGATACTAGTAAACACAGGATTACTCACTAGTCATTTAAAAATCAGAAAATTAAATGACTAGTGAGTAATCCTGTGTTACAAAAAATCAGCATTAGTAAAATACTGCTAATGTACAGGCTACTTCAAATATAAGTACAAGCAACTTAATGTCTACTAGTTAGTGCTAAGGATTAGTGACAGTGGACTAGTTAATTGCCACTGTAGTGATTGTGGCTGTTAGCAAAAGTACTAGAATGTGTAAATATTAGTGACTAACTGAACAAATATGAGCCATTACTGGAATAGTATCTAATGAATAGTTTCTACTGAAATTGAAATAATTCTAGTAAACACTGGATTACTTACTAGTCATTTACTAGACCAAGTACTAGTAAAGTGCTGCTAATGTATATTATTATTATTAATACTAGTAACAATAGCTACTAGTGCTAAGGAATCAATCAGTACGTTTACATGGACAACGATATTCTGATTTTAACACGATTAAGACAATACTCTGATTAAGAATCTACCATGTAAACAGAGATTTTTGATTACCTTAATCCGGCTAAAGTCATACTCGAAGTAAACACAAATCGAATTAAGACGTGGAGTATTCCTATTTTAGTCGCATTATCAAAGTGCAGTATAGACATGTACACACCTTAATCACACTATTACCGTTGTGTGGGACTTTTCGCCGCATTTTGCGTCAGGATACGCACATGGCAGTGGTCAACCGTTTGACGGCAAACAAAAGAGCATGGCTTCAACAACACTGCCATCTGTTTGCACGTATAGCATGACAAATTATTAACTGCACTTGAAGCTTTCGTAAAAAAAAATAAAAAATGAAACACCCAAAACTGTATATGGCATCAGTGGTGTAGTCTACGTGATACGCAGGTATACGCCGTATACCCACTAGGAAATGTAAAGGATTTCCGTATACCCACTTAAAAAAGCACGAGGATACGTAACAACATCGTTTTGTAACAGAACTTTCACGCGTTCATTCATAAATTCACCCCGTCCATGTTGCGAAGCACCTACTTCTTGAAAATCACGCCGTGTTTCTGCTGATGACCAGTGCTATTGCGCAACTCTTGCACAGCACTGAATGTGAATCACTAAAGGAGATATGAAACGAAAGCAAATTCAAACTACACTCTTTCTGTGTTTTCGTAAGCCTGCCCCTGAAGCTGCTGCTGCTTCAGCAAGCAGTGACAGATCAGTCAACTGTACCGAACGTCTTTCACACTGGCCTTAGATAGTCACTACCTGACATGGTCATGATCAAATATGTTAGCTTTGCTTGGCGGCATAAAGGAAAAGTATGCAATTATTTGTAAATTTAACTGTCTGAAAACGAAAGTAAATGAAGGGAGTTGAAAAATTTCTTATCCTGTGGCACCCTCTAGTGGACTGCAGTTATCCTCTAGAGAGGGCATTTTTGCTCAGCCAATGCAAGTCTATGGGAAAGCTTATGGGGTGTCGCTGTGGTACGGGGAGTATGAGGCTGGGAGGGAATATCAGAGTATACCCACTACAAAAAACTACTAGACTACACCACTGTATGGCATCATAATGAAGATGAACTATACAGTATGTTTATACATGAAATTCTGGAGGGAACGTTGGATGGTGCCGCGTGGGGACGTAATGACGTGTGCCATTAATTGATTTATTTACTATAACATATAAAACGGGAACATGAAAGGAATATTCTAAAAGCAACTAATGTAAACACCTTAATCATAATATTGTCTTATTTAGAATAAGGTAAATAATTAGATTACTGATGTCCATGTAAACGTTGTCAGTGTTAACACGGCTTGCCACAGCCACCGTGCAATTTACGAGGTCAATGAAATTGCCTTCAAATATTCGCCCAGTTCGCCCATGGCAGACCCGCGGGCCAAAATATCTCCGCCACGGGGCGGAACACCCCCCGCCCCCTCGCGCATAATACCACGGTCCTTAGAATCCAAACAAAGCTCAAATTTCATTGACATGTTTCTGTGCCACATTTTGTAAGTTCTGTTACCGGGAGCGACGATGGAACGTTCGCGGCGGCTTCAATCGATAACCACAGCGATCACGCACGGGATCTGAAATGCACCTTTGTGTGTAAACAGGATTTCTGCGGGAATAATGTGCAGACAGCAGCCCCAGACAGCGGAGGGGTCGCTCTCTCTCTCTCTCTCTCGTTCACACGGAGAGATAGCGACGCGCTGATGTTTATCCTCACCTTGCTTTACGCACTTCAGCCGGAACGGGTCTTTGCAGTGCTTGATCACGGCCAGCACATCCCTGATGGTGAGCCCCGCCACCGGTGTATCGTTGACCTCCAAGAGCAGCTCGTCCTGGGACAGCTTGCCGCTCTGGATGGCCACCTTACCCTGCTTCACCTCCCCAAAATAAGGGAAATTGCCGTTCTCGGCGCCCCCTTTCAAGTCGAACCCCAGCTCGCCCTCCTTATTCCTGGTGAGCACCGCTTCGTGGACTTTGTTCGTCCAGTGGTTCTTCTTCTTCAGACTCTTTGACATCGCTGACAATTGACGACTCGCCTACCAGTGTGCGGCTGCTGGATGGCACCTCATCCCTGCCCCGGTGTGGCGTATCGCGAGTCCCGAGGCGCGCTCAGATCCTCCGCGGCTGGCCGCTGCTCGTAGTGTCCATGTTGCATGCAGTGGAGTTGCGCTGAGAGCTGCAGCAGCAGTACGCAACTGTATGGAGGAGCACGCTCGCTTACACGCTGACTGCCGAGTGACCCGGATGTGATGTCTAGGAGGAGGCAGGAATGCTAGTGCAAAACGAGCGTGCATTCCTCAAAACGGGATTCACGTAAAAGTGAGCCTTGGACGAAAAGGGAAGGAAAGTGCGCAATGAGAGCTGGCTCAAACAGAAGTTATGGTGTTTTCGATTCCCAAGTTTATGGAATCGATCTAGTCGAATCCGAGTTTTGATTCAAGACAAATACATAGATTTATAAGAAAAACGTGCAAAGTATAACTTGACCCTTTTTTTGTTTGTTTGTTTGTGTGTTTTACAAAATATCATGTTCGATTGCAAGTTTTTTTTTTTTCCAAGTTTGTAGAATCGATCGAGTCGAATCCAAGATTTAATTCAAGACAGATATATCTGGATTCATAAGAAAAAAATAGCATGTTGATCTTTTATGAGTTTTTCTATGTTATAAATTAATTATTTTTTGGTAGTAAAACCAGCAAGTTTCCATTAAAACATAAAACTACGTCTATTCTTCTATGTTTTTAACAAAATGTGTTGAGTGACTCATAAATTAAACGATTATGTTGGTAGGCTAGTATGATTTACAACATCTTCACATTTTCTATAAAAACACTACTTTATTTGCGGTTATTTATACGAAATCTGCATAAATTAAGTATAATAATTTAAAATCATTTTTTAATACATGTATAGTTTTGCAATGCAAGGACGTTTCATTCAATATTAAGGGGACTGAGGGGGTTTACTGTAAGTTTATGTAATAAAGAGACTTATAGTAAGGAATTAAATTATTTTAAACCCACGATCCCATGAATTTCATATATTCAGCTCCCAAATTCAGCATAGTTTGTGTTAGCATGATGCATAATCATGGTTATTAAATATATAAATAAATAAATCAGATAAATGAGATGTAAGACCATTTATTATAATTAGATCATGCAAATTATATGCAGATTAAAGTGGATAATGTGTTCAGTTCAATATTGTCTGGATTAGGATTACACAACTGCTCTATTTCCAACCATAAAAAGGTCTATATTTATTGTTAGACTTATTTATAGCAGTTTTATGGGCACATATTTTACAGCCAGGATATAAGAGTTACAATAAAAATGTACATTTTCAATTTACATCATTAGTTGGAATCCATTAAATAATATTACTACCACACAAGGCAACTTGTTATTCAGCAATATTAATCGATCCTAAAAGCTATTGTGCCTTGGCACATGCAATACGCAAAAAAAAAAATTACACCCATTTGCCATCTACAAAGTACAGAGTGGATTAAAGTTGCTAAAATAGTCCGTCATCTGTAATGTCTCACAGGCCTTTTAAATGATCAGTCATTTCCTAAGAGAAGAGGCGTCATCTGTTGTGGTTGATCAAACAAACAGAGCTGTTAAAGGGGTCATATGATGCTTTTTTAAAGATCATTATTTTGTGTATTTGGTGTAACAGAATATGTTGACATGCTTTAATGTTCAAAAAACACATTATTTTTCAAATACTGTACATTATTGTAAGTCCTCTATGCCCCGCCTCTCTCAAACGCTTCGTTTTCTCCTGATCCTGTCTGATCAGGATATTGGAGGTCCGGTGTAGTAAAGTATTGACTCTTTTGATCAGGTTCTTCATCTCTTTCCTCTTACCTTCCACTTTATTGGCCGTCCGTTTGATCTGCCCGGGAGTCTGAGAGATTAGTCAAATCACTTACATTTAAATCCCAATCTTACCCTAAATTAGAGCCTGCATGGGCCACATGGACATGTGGATGATCTAATGCTGTAAGTCAGTTGGGTGAAGGCTGGAGATCGGTACTGTGTGGTTTTACACTTTATTGGAGGGTGTGTCACAAAACGTGAATCTAGATTTAGTGCAAAGCATTTAATTTAATACAATTTAAGCTGGCTTTTCAAACGAGAAGTCATCCATTATATAAATTAGGATTAGGAACAAGGTGAGAATTACTCGTGTGTGTGTGTGTGTGTGTGTGTATAGAATTATTATTACTACAGTCAAACCTGAACACAGAAAGCATTTTGTTATACAAAACATTAAAGGGGTCATATGATGCGATTTCAAGTTTTTTGGGTCTGATCTTATTTCAACCTCTTATTTCAGTTTTCTGAATCATTTTGGCTATATGGTTATAGCCATACCAATTCATTTGGGTGTGTATAATTGTGTGTGTGTGAGTGTATGTGTCTTTTTTGCACTCTAGATATTTTAGAGTTTCACCCCTTCCTTGCTGCGCAATTTTTTTTCTGCATCGTGGGGGATTTGTAGATTGTACACAAAAATTTTCTGTATTTTCAATTTTTTGGTCATTTCCCATTCATTTCCTATGGTCGGTCATTTTTGACCAAAGACCATGATTGTGACTTTTTTTTTTTTTTTACGAGCACTTAGCTTTTTTGAATCATGGCCTCAATTTTTTTGTGTGTTCACATACCAAGTGCCATAAAAGTCACTAAGTTTCGTACCATTCCGATGAAGCTACGATTTTTAGAATTTCAAAATGTAAAATTTTTCAGTCAAAAGTAACCGAAGACCGCACCAAGGGTTAAGAAATGTTGCCTCTGCAATTCAATTAAATGAGGTTGTTGTTTCCCCCCCCCAAAATATTATTTTGAAATTCAGTTCAATTATGTTTTTTCCCCCTAAACATTATTTCCAAGTAATTAACTTTTTATGGTTTTAGTTAACTAAATAAACCCTGCTTTATACAGATTTTTATCTGCAAATAAATAAATCTTTGCACCAGTTTCCCATCAGTCCTAAAGCATAACCTAAATTCATTCAAATAATTTGCCTGCCTGTTATACATGACACACAGCTGCCAATGGGAAACACGTTTCTGCCTTGTCCTGTCATCACCACAAGAGTGCAGTGTGCTTCCATGCTTTTAACAACACTGTGTGTATATGCTTACAGCATATTCCTGTTGGGGCTATATTGATTTATAGACATCTCATACACTTCAAAAACTTCTATTTAAAGCAAAACCTTCCTCAAATGTGGTTTTTGTGTGCATGAGGGTGAAGGTTGCTATTTAAAAAAAATGTTATGAAATGGACTATTTGCACAAAAAGTGAAAAAAACTTGAAAATCTTATTTCAGGATGACGTTATTTCCACAGCATTTTTATTAGCAAAATAGTGAATATTAGTCAACATTCGTTCCCATCCAATGAGAACCTACATTAAAGGGATGTGAATTTTAACCCATTTTAATTGATCATGTTACTATCAGAAAAGACTCCCACTGAGGGCTTCTATATGACATTACATTGTACAGGTTGTCAAATCATGTATTATATAACATGGGTGTGTGAACCTAGTGCAAAAAGGAAAGTTTTACAGGAATTCTGAAGAGAAATTCTTTGGTCCCTTTTAATGGATTCAAAAAGGGTTCCCTTTGATCAATTAAAAAAAAAATTTTAAAAAAAAAACGCAAACCATTGACCTTTTGCAAAGTTCTCCATTAAAACAGTTCATGATTTGCAGGTGCAGAGGAACCAATTCATCAGCAAATTTCAGGCTCACCACAGTTTTTCCATCATTCCAATCACAGGCAAATCTGAAAACACGCACACTGGTAATGACGGCTGTGCTCGGGTTTTCAGAACTATTCTGACATGCTTGGATTTTTCCCCCATTGAATTCACAGCTCCCACAGGTGTTTGGTCTCAAAAATATCTTGCTTTCATAGTCTAGACTACTATTGAACAGATGAAAGCTGTGTGGATAAATATCAGCTGGCTCTTATTTAACATAGCTGAAGTGGGGGAAAAAAAGCACTGCAACATTAACTGCAAGGCACATGACCTTAAAGACAGAAAGCGACAGAATGATGTTCCCAAAATCCCATTGATTGAAAAATACCCTTAAAAAGGATCTGTAAAGTCAACGTCTAAAAACTGTGAAAAACTCCAGCAACAATTACAGTTGTACAAATATTTTACACAAAATGCTCTTTTTTTTTTCCCTAAAGCGCGCTAAAAAAATTTCTAAAATGTTTGGAGAACATAAATATAAAAAGTTAAGTAACGCATTCAACATTCAGGTTCATGGTTGACCTTCCTCCTGCTCTGGTTCTCCCAAAGATTTCACATCAGGCCACTCGCAGTCACACTGTGAAAGGGAACATTTAGTGGATAAATAAACAGTTTTACCAAAATCATGACGATGAATGAATTAAAAATGAATCTGTTGTGCTGCTGCTCACCAGCGAGATGGCTTGTTTTAGAAGAGCCCACAGTCCTTAAGGTTGTTTTTGATGATGACGTCAGTGACTGCGTCAAAGACGAACTGCACGTTCTTGGTGTCGGTGGCGCAGGTGAAGTGGGAGTAGATCTCTTTGGTGTCCTTCTTCTTATTCAGGTCCTCAAACTGACACTGAATGTAAGCGGCTGCGTCCTCATACGTGCTGGATCCTTGTAGAGAGATTCACACAATTAATATGGAGAAATACACAAAGTATATTAAGTGATAAATTAATATATAATATAATTTACAGTACATTACTTCATAATATTATAGGGAAAAATAGTATTACATTTTCTATATAATATATTACTTTCTATTCTATTTGTATATTAAACTAATTCTAAATATTAATAGTATCTCTATATTAAAGGTGCAGTAGGAGATCTTGGAAAATGCTAACTTTAGCCTGATAGCACTGAAAGCGAACGTCCCACCCTCTCTGCAATCGCCGTCCAAAGCCATGCCCCCTGAACGCATATACGCTCACAGACCAGAATACCAGAGACAACATTATAATAGGCTACATCATGTGTCATTCACCGGTGAGAAAACATTATAGCTCAGTTAGTAAAAGTACTACAATACCAGGAAGGAAGATCAGGTTGTTGATGTTTGCCTGCCATTCTCGCTCTGTCTGCACAGCGTACGTGAACGCGCTGATGACGTATCCTGTCTGCGCAAACCGGGTGGCAAGAGGTATGCTAATACACACGTTAACAGGCAGGTAGAAAAGTCAATAAAAATGCTCGGACCGAGCGTTTTGATTGGACGAACATTTCTTGGTCCTACGCCTTCCACAGA